GTTTTTTTTTTTTTTTTTTTTTTTTTTTTAATTTTTTTTTTTTTCAACGTTTATTTATTTTTGGGACAGAGAGAGACAGAGCATGAACGGGGGAGGGGCAGGGAGAGAGGGAGACACAGAATCGGAAACAGGCTCCAGGCTCCGAGCCGTCAGCCCAGAGCCCGACGCGGGGCTCGAACTCCCGGACCGCGAGATCGTGACCTGGCTGAAGTCGGACGCTTAACCGACTGCGCCACCCAGGCGCCCCGAGACGTGTTTTTAAAAACATTTGCCAGCGATGCGGCAGCAGTTAATTTCTATTGGAAAGTTTCGTAGTACGTTGTCTCCGTTCGGTGCAAACGACATAGTTCAGTGGATTAGCAAGTGGTGGTTGAAATGATCTTGAAGGTGAAGGGATTGTTTCCACGTGGTTGAGTGAGTTCTGAGGTGGCGGTAAGGACACTGTGCTCGTCTGTCTGCCTGCCGTACCCAGGAGTGAGCCAGTGCGCTGAGTAGGCGACGGCCTCGCCGCCTTACACCGGGGTTTGCGGCCTCCCGTGTTCTCGTGTCCCACCATCTTTCTCTGTTGTGTGTGCCTCTCATTTTTATCGACCCCGACTCTGTTCTCTGGTCCTCCTGTTTGCCTGGCCCAGTGTACTCCTAGCATTCATTTGGTTAGTTTTCACTCTGTCACAGGGTCTAACTTTGTCCCAAGTATAGCTCACGAGAAACCTTGCAGCTGAATTCCATCCGTTCAGCTTTTTCATTTCCAGGGTTAGAGTGGCAGAAGTATTGATTTCCTCGTCTTTTTCCTTGATGTTTCATTCCTTCTTGATTGATGAAACAGTCAAGCTTGGGGGATAAAGCCCATGACGGTGGTGACCCGTTGTTCCCGGTACTTTCTCCCAAGTCCATCCCACCTTGGGCTCTAGGTACCTGAATTGGGGTCTCTTGGGGTTTTTGTATTAGACGTCCCCACTTTGTGGTTTTGTCTTACCTTCTTACTCTGTGGTAAGTGATGGAAACGAAGAATTGATTTGCCACTTTTGTAATTTGTCCATCCTGAAAAAATAGTGAAATGAAAATACAGAGACTGCTGTTGGGCTCTCCCTCATGGGATCCGGTCCGTGTTTCCATCCATCTGAGTGCAGTGGGGGCGGCACCAGTTTGATGGGTTCACAGTCTTCTGGGCTGTTCAAGCAGGGCTCTGGGGGATGGGGAATGCAAGGGGACTTTCATCTAAACGATTGTTGTATTTATTTTTCCTCCTAGGATTGCCTCTTAGGATGAGTTTGGTTATTATTCTTTAAAAAAATTTTTAACATTCATTTTTGGGAGAGAGAGAGCATGAGTGAGTGGGGAGGGGCCGAGAGAGAGGGAGACACAGAATCCGAAGCAGGCTCCAGGCTCTGAGCTGTCAGCACAGAGCCCGACGCGGGGCTCGAATTCACAGACCAAGAGATCATGATCCAAGCTGAAGTTGGATGCTTAACCAACTGAGCCACCCAGGCACCCTGACTTATTATTCTTTATGTGGATTTTTTTATTTTGCTTTTTCTAAATTTCCCACACTAAGGTCTAGAGTGTTTTCCTCTTATTTTGGAACTTGGTGAATAAGTCTGCGTTCTTTTTTACCATACCACTCTTGATTCTTGTAGTATTATCAGTAGGTGATGCCCACTCTGTTCTTATAATCAGGAAGCTGTGTGAATATTCTCTGCTCCTGATTTTCTTGTGTAAAATCCTCATGAACTGTATGCACTTCCCTGAGTCCTTTTTTGACGTAGTTTTCAGACCTCTATAGTTGACTCTTCGACTCATCCCCACCCCGCCCCCACCGTCAAAAATCCACCTCTAACTTTTGACTCCCCCAGAACTACACTACTAATAGCTTACTGTTGACCAGAAGCCTTACTGATAATATCAACAGTCAATTAGCACATATTTTGTGTGTTATATGTGTTACATACTGTATTCTGGTACCAATGTCTAATTTTTGGCTTAATTTTTCCAGTATACCTATGCTGTGTGGTTCATCTACGTTTTTTTCAAATTGTCACAGATCTCCAAAAAATCTCCCTTGGTATTTATTGAAAACAATCTGTGTGCAGATTGAAAACAATCTGTGTGCAATCTGCACAGTTCAAACCCATGTTGTTGGAGGGTCAACTGCATTTGCACTTGAAGCACAAATGAATCACAGTTTAAAATGTGGGCAGAATATACTGTTTTCTGTTTCTCTTAGAGTGATGCCCTGCATGTACTTACCTTGATTACCCACAACACACTGAGTAACACATGGGAATAACTCTCTAGTGACTTTTAAACCACTGTCTAGTAGTCTATTCCTTTAATAGGACAGGGTTAATTTATTTGGTAATTTGGGTTATTTGTTCCTACATGATTTACTTTGCATTTGTCAGTATTACTGATGTGAGATATTTTTGAGAATGGTATTTTTGTGGTCTTCTGGTCTTTGACTTAATCGGTCGTGGGCCTCTTTGAGAATCTGGTGAAGGCTGTCATATATATTCGTATGTGTGTGTGATATGACTTAAAGCAGGATTCCTGACCTGAGGTCTGTGGGGAGACAAAGAGCAGTCTGTGAGCTCCCGTTGTAAACAGGATTATTTACATTTGTTTATTCGTGTATGAGTATTACATGCACTCTGTGTGTAGAGGTGTTGTTTGTACATGTGTGATTTGTGTACGTATACGTGTATCATTTATATGTGTGTACATGTGTGTCTTTTTTATGTATTGTTCACATACACATATAAACAGATAGAAATAATCTTGTTTACAAGTCATGGGAGCTCACAGACTGCTCGTCGTCTCCCCGCAGACCTCAGGTCAGGAATCCTGCTTTAAGCCATTCTTAGGCTACTCTCTCACTTTACGAAGGTGTGTGATTAATTTAACAAAGGCTCTTCTTCCATCCCCTGGTCATGGACTTTACCAGCATCTTACTGGTATTATAAGTAGGTGAAAATAATACAAATTTAGATTGAAAGTCTAAATCGGAAGGACAGATGGTATGGTCCTTCCTTTTTGCCCCCCAGAGTGAGTACTTAAACAGGGTAAAAAAGGGAAGAGAAGCATCACTGTGGAGTGACTGTGCCACCATGGGATGACACGGGCGTAGGTCTTAGCTGTTGCCACAGAGCTCATCGATTATGATAAAAGCCACGTTAATTTTGTAATGTGGAAAATTGAATGGAAAAACTGTCTGGTGTCCCTTTAATGGTGGTTGTATCCAGTTTATCCTGTTTAGTATTTGGTCTTTTCGAGGTTATTTGTCTTTGTTTCACGTCCACGCGTGTTTATTCATTCAGCATAATTATCGAGCATTTACTATGTGCTGGTGACAGTTGGAGATATGTAGCGATGCATAACCAATAAATCTCTGTTCTTGTAGATGTTATATTTCAGTGAGTATATTTCGTAAGTATATGAGTGCGCATATTTAACATAATTTCAGGTAGTGATGTTAAATACAGAAAAATAAAGCTGGGAGAGGAGATACAGAATGTGTGTGATGTAGGGAACTGCTATTTCAGATTGTGTAGTTAGGGAGATGTGGACGAAGTCGGTTGGGACAGGGAGGGAGGAGAGCCATGGGAAGATCTGGGGGAAAGATGGCAAAGGCCTTAGAAAAATGTCACAAGGAAAAGCAACAAGACCAGGAAAGGGTAGAATGCAGAGCCGTCACGGGCGAGGTCAGAAAAGTAGAACTGGTCTCTAAAGGGCCATGGAGGTCAGGATAATGTGACTATTTGAGTTTGGTCTGGCTGTACCAGACCAATGAAATCTCTTTCTGGTGGTACGGTCTATCTAAGCATTAGTAGTTTTTCAAAACTCCTCTGGTGATTCTAATAATAAGCAACCAAGGTAGAGAACCACTAGCCCAGAGTGAGACTAGCTAGAGAAAAGAAGAAGCTGGGAAGCCTTCTGCCCTCAGAGATGATTGAAGGTTGGGAAGCAGGGGGCAGAACCGCCGGCAGAGGACTACGGGTAGTGTAGTGTGGGGACCATTAAGACAGTGTGGTATCCTTGGAAGCCAGGGAAAGCAGGCGTTCTAAGAAAGACGGGCCTGAGAGAAGAAGAATTCACATTCAGACGGTATGAAAGTCTGTGCTCTTAACATTTACCGCATGCTGTACTTGAGCAGTGCACAGCTGGTTCGGTATCTGCTTTATGTCCGTACCGTGTAGCCCTCCTGCTGTGGTACAGGGCAACCCCGTCATTTCAGCCAGAAGCCTCCCAGGATGGAGGGAGAGACCAGGAAGGAGGAGCAGAGGACGTGCTGTCCCGTGCCGAGGACTTTCTGTGGTTGCCGTGGGATAGTTTTGTTTACATCTGTTGCCTGGAACTTGGGCCTCCTGCACCCAGCCGCAAAGGAGGCTGGGAAATGTGGCATATTTTAGGCAGCCATGTGCCTAACGAACACTTCCCTATGAAAGAAGGGCAGAGGGAATGTTGACCCAACAGCTGTAGTCTCCGCCAGGTAAGGGGTCACCTAAAGTTTGCAAATCACATCAGCTTGAGCTAATTAGAATTAGTTAAAAATAAAAATCAGGGGTGCCTGGGTCGTTCAGTCAGTTAAGCGTCCCACTTAGGCTCAGGTCATGATCTCGCGGTTCGTGAGTTCGAGCCCCACGTCGGGCTCTATGCTGACAGCTCGGAGCCCGGAGCCTGTTTCGGATTCGGTGTCTCCCTCTCTTCTCTCTGCTCTGCTCTCCGCCACTCGCTCTATCCTCCTCCGCTCACGCTCTGTCTCTCTCAAAAGTAAATAAAAGATTTAAAAAATTTTTTTCTAATAAAAATAAAAATCAGTTATTGTTTCAGAGTACTGCATTTTGTGAAAACGACCAAGTAAAAGTAAGTTCTTCACATTGACCTTAGTTTTGTCACGTGCAGCGTTGCATACTGGACAGTAAGAGATGCTTAATGTATGAATGTGATATTTAGCGTTTCTTCTCAGTTAATCTCTGTTTCTTTCAGTGAAGGGGACGTTTTGAGTTTACACCTGCTTCAGCTGGCCTTTGGTGATAGAAAGTGTTTGGCATCGGGACAAATCTTGTATGAGGTAAATGGTACTGGGGATACGGGTTCGTTATTACCATTTTGTCACTGTTTTGCCTTTTTTAGTCTTTGTCTAAAGATATTAACATATTGAAAAGTTTTTCTTCTATTCAAGTGAATAATGTATTCATAATATAACAGAAAGAGTGTTAGAGTAGAGATCACAAGACTAGCTGTTTTACCCGGGGAGCACTCTTAACTTCCCCAGGTATCGTTGTCCTCTAAAATGAGATTAGACAAGACTCATCTTGTGACCTAATTGGTACCAGAGAAAAACAGCTCCACCTTGTTGCACTAATACCAAAGCAGTAAGCCATGAGGTGACTTTATAAACGGTCTCAGGGTGCCGACCTGGCTCAATTAGTAGAGCACGCGACTCTTGATCTCGGGGTTGTGAGTTCAGGCCCCACGTTGGGTGTAAAGATTACCTAAAAATAAAACCTTAAAAAAATAAATTAAAAAATTTTTAAATGTTTATTTTGGAGAGAGAGAGAGCAAGCGAGGAGGGGACGGGGGTGGAGAGAGAGGGGGACAGAGGATCCAAAGTGGGCTCTGCGCTGGTAGCAGCCAGCCCGATGCAGGGCTCAAACTCACAGACCGTGAGATCGTGACCTGCAGTTGGACGCTCAACTGACTCGGCCACCCGGGCGCCCCAAAATGAAAAACAAATTTTTTTTTTTAAACGGTCTTGCCACTTAACAATTGTAAATGCGGGTAAACGCATTGGACTTTCAGATGACTGTTTTTCCAGCCGAGTTCTAGAGGAAGAAGTGCCGTGCTGCTGACGGCAGTGTGGCCAACCCTCACGTTCCTTTCTGTGGAACAGGCTTTCTTAACCTCGTGTCTGAGGATACGTGGACGGGCTTTAAAGAATCCACGAAGTCTCTGAATTCTGTGTGACATTTTTGTCATCAGTGGATGTTTCTGGGGAGAAAGTCTCATAGCTTTTGTTAGATTCTTACAGAGATTGTTGGGCAAACACAAAGTGAAGAGCTGCTGCTCTAGAGCGAGAATTGCACTGAGAACACAGGAACAGGTTTGCCGGCCTGGAGCGTGTCTGTGTGTAATTTTGATGGTTAGTCCAGTTTACGCTGCAGCCCAAAGTACGGGGTTCCCACGTTTGATAACGGCTTTAGATTTGTTGGTGACCATTTTCGAGACACTAAATTTAGCCTCGTGTGTTGTGTGCTATGTAAAATTCCAGAGCCCTGTTCAGTGATTTGTTCTCTTTATTCTTTAACTTTTTGTGTTTCCTTTGTATCGTGTGAAAAATGTTTAAATTTGGAGAACGTTTATTTTTTAAAGTTTATTCTGAGAAAGAGTGGGAGGGGCAGAGAGAGAGGGAGAAAGAGAGAATCCCAAGCAGACTCTGCACTGTCAGCACAGAGCCTGATGTGGGGCTTGAACTCACAGACCGTGAGATCATGACCTGAGCCAAACCAAGAGTCGGCTGCTTAACTGACCGAACCACCCAGGCGTCCCAGATTTGGAGAATTCTTAACTTTTGAATGACTTTTTGCCTAGAATTCTATTAAGATTTGCGTACGTTTTATCTTTCAGGGGCTAGAGTACTGTGAAGAGAGATACACACTGGACCTCACGGGTGGCATGTTTCCTTTGAGGGGACAGACTAGTAATACCAAGCTGTTGGGCTGCCAGAGTATAGAGAAATTTCGATATCATGGCGACAGAGAGGAAGGTATGAGTGAAGGTCAGTTAAAAAGTGCTCTTAATATATATCATGTGCAATGCCTGATGTTAAGATTTATCTTGACGTAAGATTTATGACAGTTACTGCTTTTTAGAGTTCATACTCCTGGCAGTTAACAAATTGAGATACTAATTATGGAAATTTATTTAGGTCTGTCTGAGCTCCTAGGTATTTCTTACTCTCCACATTGCCGTACGGAACTCAAGAATGGAGTAGATTCGGAGACCCTTAATGAAGGAGCCTTGTATTTTCGTCCACCTCTCTCTAAACGGACAAAAATGGCCTCTGGTTTTGACCAGAATGAAGAGGCTGTGAATAATGCTTCCCTCTGTGTATTTTTGAGACCTGCCTTGGATGCCTTTAATTTTTCTGTTTCCTTTCGTGTCCTCCCTTCTTCCTGGTAAACAAGCCTTGCTTAGTCACGGTTGCAGAGAGTTTAGAATCCAGCGCGGATTCGGATCCCAGCGGTGTCACTAGTTGTGACCTTTGACAAATTATGTAACATTTCTGAGCCTCCCTCTCCCCATCCGTGAGTGGAATAATACAGTTGTACGTTCTGCAGCAGGCAGTCGGGAGGATTGAGTGGGACCGTGGGAGGGGTTCGTGCAGTCCCGGGAATTGCACTAGGGCCGTATTTGTGTCGGTGGTCTTACTGGGGTTCATCCTCAGGGACACTTCATCCGTCCTGAGCGTGTCTTCTGTTCTTGTCCCACGTCTGTAGGTGGTCCAGTCATCACATCGAGTTACAAATGCCCCAGGCAGAGCTCTCCACCTCTTCTCACTGCCCCCGCCCCTCTTCCGCTTTGTTTCCTGTTTGTCAGGTCTCAGACGTTTGCTTCTTTCTCTCCTGTTGTTTTCTCTCACTTTGTTTCTGACTTTCCATCCCACAGCCACCATCCAAGTCCTTGTCTTTCCTCCCTTTACCATACAGCTGGCTCAGTCCTTCTCAGCTAGAATTCCTCTGAGGAATTAAGCCCAGCGCCTAGGCCGCCCGTCGTGGCTATTGAGATTCTCTGGTACTAACTGTGTTCCGTTGTTGGTACAATACTCATCCAAGTCATTTTCTGTTTTCTACCTCCACTGCATCAAAGTTGCCAAAGCGTTAAGTGAGAATAAGCCAGGATAGAACTTTTCTGATGCGTACTTTTTAATAAGATCTTCTTGAAATAGGGAAACAGTTAAGATACAAGTGAATGTCACTCTCCTTACAGAATGAACGATAGAAGTGTGCTCTGATATATCAAATAGCAGTTGAGACTCCTTAATTTGTGAGAAAACGTTGCTGAAATTTTATTCGGGGTAATTTTACTTTGCAATGATTTATTTCATTTTTTAAAACTACGTGCTTTTCTTTCAGCGCTGTCTCCTGACACCAGTGTTTCAGTCTTTACCTGGCAGGTGAATGTATACGGACAAGGGAAGCCTTCTGTGTACCTGGGGCTTTTTGACATAAATCGTTGGTATCATGCGCAAATGCCAGACTCGCTAAGGTATGATTTCTCTCTCTTTTTCTCCTTCTCGTATTTGTATGTGTAGCCGCTCGGTGACTTCATGATTTTGTAAAATTTTCTTGTAGATCAGGAGAGTATCTGCATAGTTGCTCCTATTTTGCATTGTGGTCACTGGATTCTGTCGTGAGTAAGGCTTCCCCACACTACATCTTGGATGTGCTGGTGCACGAGAGAAGCTTGAGTCGAGGAGTGCCTCCCTCGTTCCCACCTCCTGAGCAGTTTTTTAGCCCAAGTACTTACAATTTTGGTATGTATTTCCTTAACATGACCTTTCAAGAAAAATCACACGTGTCTGCGTGTTGGTGCGAAATACGTATATGTATAGTATGCGTGTGCATATACGTACGGTACACATACAGTGTGTGGTATGCACGTGTACGTAATTACCTGCTCAGGTCTCATTACCGATGGTTAATATATGGGCAGCTGAGGAAATTCATTTGATACGTACATGAGAAATTCAATACTTAGGTGTTATATAAAGAAAGTATCACTATTTTGAATTTGTTAGAAAAGATAACTGTTACTTACGGTGCAGCTTGGTATCTTGCCAGGAGAAGAGAATTATTTTATTTATTTATTTTTTAAAGTTTATTTATTTTGTGAGAGTATGCATATGCAGTCAGGGGAGGGGCAGAGAGAGAGAGAGAATACCAGGCAGGCTCCGTGCTGCTAAGAGCCCAACGTGGCCCACGGACCGCGAGATCATGACCGGAGCCGAAATCAAGAGTCGGACACTTAACCAACTGAGCCACCCGGGCGCCCCGTTTTTAAATTTATTATATGCAATGATCTTGATAACCTTGCCTACCAGCCTCTTGTTAGGGTAAATTTTGTTGTATTAGTGCCATCTAAAAATCTAATATGTGAGCGGATATTTTGTCATCTTTTTCTTTTTAGATGCCACTTGTTTATTAAACTCAGGAATTGTTCGTATAACTTGTAACGGCTTTCACAAGGAGGTAGGTGGCAACTAACGCTGTGGACAGAGTGTCTTATCGGGCTAAAGTCAGGTCGTGGATGTGAGCTGCATTTAGTGTTAATTGTACAAACTGTTGTTTCGGCTCAAGTGGAAGGTCCCGCTAGGTTTGTGATGTTGGCAGCCGGTGCCGTTAGTTACTGACAGCCTGTTCTGGCAATCTGCCAGAAGAGGGTTGGGCTGTTTTTGGCAGCTTTGTGTGGATGTCGGCTGCTTGAACCTTAAGGATAATAGCGAAGTAGGTCAGTGCCTTCACCACATCCCTTTTTGTCCGTCCTCTTAATTCTCCTCTTTCTCCTCAGGAAGCTTATGAATAAAGGAAGTAACGCAAAGAAGGTACCTAGGACGGTGCCTGGCAGAGTGGGCGATGACTGATGTTGAAAAATACTTTTCTGGGGAAACACAAAATGGCAGATTTTTAAATGGATAATCGGCTAGATGTGCATGAATGCCGTATTTATACTTGATATTAGATCCTTTCACGTCAGATCAGGAGGAACAAACTGCCGGGGGCAGTGAGGGGGCCTGGGCGGTGGGGGGGGGGGGGGGGGGGGGGGGGGGGTGTTCATTTAGATCTGTCACCAAGTCTGTCAGCTTTAGGGAAGGAGTAGGGTTATCTTTCATAAAAAGAAAAAGTGACCTACAATGCCCTCATCAGTAATACTATTTATAACTAATGAGCATTGGTTTAGCTCAAGAACCTTATAAACCCTGTTCCTTGGCAGAAGTGTAAAAATGGAGTCTTTTGCAATTTCCATTCAGCGTCTTTTAGTTTTATTCAGAATATTAAGTGTAAAGTAAGGTGATTAGCTTATTAATTATTCTTAAATTTGGTTGTGTATTTTTTGATGTTTATTAATCGATCTTTCCAGACTTTGACTTTTTTAAAGAAATCAGGACCATCCCTCAGTGAATTCATACCTGATGGTTATAATCGATGTCTTCTGGCTGGCCTTCTGTCACCGAGACTTGTTGATATTCAGCCTTCCAACTTAACTCAGGTGAGGTGGTTGCTAACTCTTGTTTACTTTGGGTCATAGATTATTAGCTTCTATTGTAATAAAAGTCTACTAGATCATTTCTGCGAAGGTAGGTTAGGTGATGTGACGCTCACGCCGCGTGATCAGTAGCTGTGGTCTTGGGTGTGGCTTACGTCACATACTCCCAGGACTCATTAGCCGTAACTCGGCCCCGGGTTCACTTAGCTCTATGGGAGGATATGGGACAGGAGGCACCCCATGGCGGCCTCAGGCTTGTCCTGAGTGGAAGCTGTTAAAACAGACTGGGGGCCATTTTCTGGCCCCTGTGAGAACAGCACTGGTGCAAGAGCGTGAGACCAGGCGAGTCAGGGATTGAAACTGCCTTTCCCTGCCAAATGCTTCAGCTTGGTGATAGCAGAGAGCCAACTGTTCGTCGTCCTCAAGGACTTGGGCGCTCTAAGTGCTCCATTTAACCCTTTTACTTTAGGAAACTTCATACTGATTATTTTTTTTCTAATTACATACTGTCAAATTAAGGCAATATCTTAAAACTTTGACATGAGAGGGGGTGCCTGGGGGGTTCAGTCGGTTAAGCGTCCGACATCGGCTCAGGTCATGATCTCACAGTCTGTGAGTTCGAGCCCCGTGTCATGCTCTGTGCTGACAGCTTGGAGCCTGGAGCCTGCTTCAGATTCTGTGTGTGTCTCTCTCTCTGCCCCTCCCCCACTTGCGCTCCTGTCTTTCTCTCAAAAGTAAACATTAAAAAAAAATTAAAAAAAAAAAAAAAAGACTTTG